CATGCCTTTAATTCCAGCACTCAGGATGCACAGAGAGGCAAAGCTTTGAGTTTGAGGCCAGCCAACAGAGTGAGTTCCAAGACAACCAGTGCTACATAGAGAAACCCAATCTCAAAAGGCCACACAAAAATATGTTCCCTCAATTTTCAGTACCCTCACTTCTTCCTAAAGGTCTAGAATTATTAAGCCATGAACTTCATTTCACCCCTAGGTAACTAGAGAAATGACATTCTCTCTTCTCAGAGGCTAATAGGATGGCTTTTACAAGTGTGCGGTGCTCTCTGGGAGAGCGTACATTTCAAAGCGAAACTGGTGGACGACACTGAGAGTAATGGACACATCCTGAAGTGGGGTGTAAATAAGCAAAAAAAAACCTTTATTTGTTGGAAAGGGAGATATTGCAATTAGTAGGTTGGGGGAAGAAGAGAACGCTTGAGAGAATGAAGATAATGAAGCAAAAGGGCAGTGAATTCCAAGCATGGGTCCCTTCAGAAAGACAGAGATGAAGATGGATAAAGTGATTGCTGTGGCCTTGGATTCACTTGGGCGTGTGTCAGAATTCACAGGCCTCCTAGCCTGTACAATCCTTTTAGAGTTATAAAGTCTCCTGCCTCTGAGCCCCCTGTAAAGCAACTCTCTGGATTGGCAGACTGGGGACCTTGGCCTCAGCAATCGCTTGCCTCTTGTGAGCAGGTTACCCAAACTCTCTAGCTTTCTCTTGACTCAAAGAGCAAAGGTGGGAAATTATCAGTTCTGCATTGGTATGATGCAGACAAACTGCTTAGCCCATTGCCACACACCCAGAGAGGTGCCACAATTAGAGAGCCAGTCAGCATTTAGCCGTAGAGGGCGCGAGCTATGTTTTGCTCGGCTTTTTGCAAGCTGTGCGTCCAGCAAATGATACTGTCTGCTCACATCTGGGTCAGTACTTTAGACCTCACAGACAATTTGGGGGCATTTCAGGGATGACCAGAGAAAGGAGGAACTGTTGCAACAAGCCAGGATGGCGAGATGTGCTCAGAGATGCCCTCTCAAGCTTACCTTCACCTCTGAGGTATTCCCCTTGCCACCTCTGACTTTGATTATGATAATTATGTCTGTCCCAAAAGAACTGAAAGGAGATCTGTTATAGAAAAAGGGCATCACTCATGCCTAGTCTTCTTTAGAGTGAACCTGGCAAGATCATTTCAGATATTCTTACTAGTGCCCCAAACAGGAATCTAAGGTTATTGTCGTTTCTCCGCTGTTTGTAACAGGATCTTGCTATGTTACCCATACCGGCCTTGAACTCCTGACTCAGTAAGCCTTCTGCCCAGTCTCCTGAGTAGCAGTGACTAAAAAGAGGCACCTCGGTGCTCAGCTCAACGTTTTATGTTCTTTTAGATGCTTGGAGTATTTTTTTTTTCCTATTGTGTTGACGATTCTAAAATGTGGTATGTACAGTTTAAAAGCAGAAAAAGGCAACCCACATTGAAATAAATGTCATAAGCCAAGGCGATGGTGGAGCACGCCTTTAATCCCAGCACTCGGGAGGCAGAGGCAGGCGGATCTTTGTGAGTTCGAGACCAGCCTGGTCTACAGAGCTAGTTCCAGGACAGGCTCCAAAGCCACAGAGAAATCCTGTCTCGAAAAACCAAAATAAAAATAAATAAATAAATAAATATTAAAAAATGAAATAAATGTCATAGAGAACTAATACAATGCTTTATAAATTAAATAAGGAGAGGTCTTCATTAAGAAAAAAAAGGTGATTTCTCTGGGTGGGTGTTTACTGCAGTCCAGACACAGCACAACAGAGGCCGCTGCACCCACGCTGCAGCCAGTGGAAGCACACTGGCTTATGCAGCAGTCTCCCTTTCCCTACCGTTGGGAGAAAAAGAAGAGCTGCTGAAGACGCCGCTCTGCCTTCTCACTTCTCCAGAACTGTTACTGTGCAAGTGGAGGACGTAAGGTGGGAGCCAGGCAGACCTGGGTGTGGTCATGCTTTGCTACCGAGTGCTTGGAATGTCACTTTAAGACCTATGTACTTCTGCCTCCCTAAACATATTTAAAGCAGAAATGAACATCTCTCCCAGTGCTGATGAAGCTAAGACATAATGTACTATGCATGCGAGTGTGGTGTGTGCACACGTTCA